TGGAGTGCGGAGTGCAGAGTGCAGTGGCGGGATCTCGGCTCACTGCAATCTCCACCTCCTGGGTTCAAGTGTTTGTTTGTTTGTTTTTGTTTGTTTTTGAGACTGAGTCTCACTCTGTCACCCAGGCTGGAGTGCGGTGGTGAGATCTCAGCTCACTGCAGCCTCCACTGCCCGGGTTCAAGCGATTCTACTGTCTCAGTCTCCCAAGTAGCTGGGACTACAGGTGCGTGCCACCACGCCTGGCTAATTTTTGTATTTTTAGTAAAGACGGAGTTTCACCATATTGGCCAGGCTGGTCTCCAATTCCTGACTTCATGATCCACCTGCCTCAGCCTCCCAAAGTGCTGGAATTACAGGCGTGAGCCACTGGGCCCTGCCAATTTTTGTATTTTTAGTAGAGATGGGGTTTCATCACGTTGGCCAGGCTGATCTTGATTTCCTGACCTCAGGTGATCTGCCCACCCTGGCCTCCCAAAGTGCTAGGATTACAGGCATGAGCCACGGTGCTGGGCCTATACGCAGATTTCTGACTGAAGGGGTCAGCACCCCTGACACTGCATCGTTCAGGGGTCAACCGTACATTCATACCCCCCTACTACCTACTGGCTCTATGAGTGACCTTGGTCAAGTCACTGTCTTTGCTTACAGTAGGAATAAAGCATTTGACTTAGTAGCTAGCAACATGGAGGATCTGCTCAATGATGCTGATTCCCTCTTCCCCTTATGGATAGAATCAACTCGTGATTACCTGCCATGTGTGCCCGTTTTATCCCTTTGTTTAACAGAACACTTTTGTTCTGAACGGAGCTACTCCTTTCCTTTCCAATAGTTAATGTGTTCTTTGAGGATGCAATCTAATCGTAATTTTGCCTGAAGTGGGGAAAAAATTAAGCTCACGTTGAAACCTTAATATATCTCTATAACCGTTTTCTCTTTTTGCCTAGATCATTTCATTTTAGCAATTTAAGTACTACTTTTGGTCCTATTAACAATACCAATCTTGCAAAGGACAGGTTAGTACAACCAATTCTCAGATAAGAGAATTGCCTGGATAAGATTTGTGACCCCAAATTTTAAAAAAGCAGAAAAAACCCCCACAAACCACAGGCAGGAAGAAAGAAAAACAAGAGAATGTAGCTAAGATAATTCCATTAATGATCAGTTTATGTCAAAGCGTGTGGAAATAATGCCTTATAGGAGGATATGTAGCAATGACGATTTTTTAAAACTCATTTTCCCTTGTAGGTACAGAATTGCAAGTTTTTTCTGACTTCAGATGTGCAACGCTGGCTACGTCTGTGTGTGTGTCTACCTCTCTTGCCCAGACTGGAGTAAGGCGGCACAATCATAGCTCATTGCAGCCTCAAAGTCCTGGGCTCAAGTGATCCTCCTGCCCTCAGCCTCCTGCATAGCTAGGACTGCAGGCACGTGCTACCACACCCGGCTACTTTTTTTTGGTAGAGACAGAGACTTGCTATGTTGCCCAAGCTGGTCTCAAACTCCTAGCCTCAAGCAATCTTCCCACCTCAGCCTCTCAAAGAGCTGGGATTACAAGCATGAACCACTGCACCTGGCCCCATACCTGACTACATTTCTCAGCTTCCTTTGTGGCGAGGCTGTGCTAGGTAGCCTTGTACCTAATTTTGACCAGTGAGCAGTGAGTGGAATTTGTTGGGTGAATCTACTACAAAGGATCCTTAAAATGGAGATAGTGGGGCCAGGCGCGGTGGCTCATGCCTGTAATCCCAGCACTCTGGGAGGCTGAGGCAGGCAGATCACTTTAGGAGTTTGAGACCAGCTTGGCCAACACAGTGAAACCCCAGCTCTACTAAAAATACAAAAATTAGCCAGGCATGGTGGCACACACCTGTAATCCCAGCTACTCAGGAGGCTAAGGCAGGAGAATCACTTGAACCCGGGAGGTGGAGGTTGCAGTGAGCTAAGGTCGCACCGCTGCACTCCAGCCCGGCAACAAAGCAAGACTCTGATTCAAAAAGAAAGGAAAAAAAAGGTTGGGGGAGACAGTGGGAGGCCAGTCTTTTGTGCTTCCCCTTTCCTAGAAAGGAGATGAGGTTGCTGGTGCTCTGGTAGCTATTATGGACCATGAGGCAGCTTTGAAGACAGAAAGCCTGCATCCTTGATGACTGTGGAATTTCATCCCAACCCAGGACTGACTGCCCCAGATCTTTGTTACATGAGGGAAAACACTCTTCTGTGTTTAAGAAACTGTGGCTGGATCTGTTACTGGAATATGAATGCAGTTAATACCTGGCTCAAAATGCCTTCATCTCAACCCACATTGGTTGCCTCTTCCAAACAATATATAGGTCTGCACTGTGGCGGGTCTCAGGATGGCTGCGATGTAGTCTTAGGAAGTTTATCTATGGGAAATCTATATTCATGGTGTCCTGATGTTGCAGAGGACATCCTGAGCTCGCTGGAGAAACTTGGGACACAGCTCAATCGACTGTAATCTAACTTCTGAGGCCATTCAGTAACCTACAGTGGCCACCTAAAAAAAAGGCAGCCAGGTGCGGTGGCTCAAGCCTATATAAATCCCAGCACTTTGGGAGGCCGAGGTGGGAGGATCACTCGAGCCGAGGAGTTTGAGACCAGCCGGGGCAACATGGCGAAACTGTTTCTACAAAAAATACAAAAAATTAGCCAGACATGGTGGTATGCACCTGTAGTTCCAGCTTCCTGGGAGGCTGAGGTGGGAGAATCACATGAGTCCAGCAAGTTGCTGCAATGAGCCGTGACCACGCCACTGCACTCCAGCCTGGGCGACAAAAATAAAAAGAAAACGGAGCCTATTCACTGGATGTGGTAGACAAAGTGATAAACTTTTCTTTTACCTCCCATATCCCACAACCTTGGATGTGCTCACAGTCATGGTAGTGTTTTGTAATGATGTAGCTGATGACAGGTGTGATGTTGAAGATTCTTCTACCTGACTGCTGCTGTCAGTCCTACCAGCCCCCAACGTTTGGTTGGTGCTTGTTCTAAAGGGCATGTCCTAGGAGTTACTTGAATCTCAAAGTATCACTCTCTGTACAAACAAGAAGTGCAAGTAGCCTGAGCTCAGTCTCCCTATAGGAATATTTGATTACGACTAGATCAAGTCTTTCCATTACAATGACTGATCTATCTCTGAATCCTGTTGGTTCATCCATCAAAATGCCCTTTTCTTCCAGTTCTCATAGCTAGTGCCCTAAAAGTGACCTGCAGTACCTCCTGCTGAGACGAATGTACCAGCTTCCTAACTAGCCTGCACTCCCTTCGCCCACCCAAGTCAGTGCCAGACCACCTTGCCTGAAAAACCACTTTCAGTGTGCCTCATGTCAGCAGAAATGTTTCTCAGCTTCCAATTAACCACATGAAATCTCTGCTCTTGTCTGCGTTTTAAGGCTATCTATAGGCTGGGTGTGGTGGCTCCTACCTGTAATCTCAGCACTTTGGGAGGCCAAGGGAGGCGGATCACTTCAGGTCAGGAGTTTGAGACCATCCTGGCCAACATAGTGAAACCCTGTCTCTACCAAAAGTACAAAAAAAAAAAAAAAAAAAATGCGGGGCGTGGAGGCGCACGCCTGTAATTCCAGCTACTCCGGAGGCTGAGGCAGGAGAATCACTTGAACCCGGGAGGCAGAGGTTGCAGTGAGCTGACATTCGCGACACTGCACTTCAGCCTGAGTGACAGAGCGAGACCGTGTCTCAAAAATACATAAGTAATAACTTTAAAAAAGCGTATCTATAACCTGGTCCCAGCCTGAATTTCCTTCTTCACCCCAACACGTAGCCCTAGTTACATTCTTCTGATGTCTGTAAACAAGCCCAGCCCTTCCTGTTGTGAAGCCAAATTCACGTGGTTCCTCTTTGCCTGAATGTTTTCCCATTCCACTTACCAGAAGCCTAGTCATCCTTGGGAGGGCTGTACCGGGGTTGCAAGAAGCAACGGAAACGGTTCAGCACCTGCTACCTTCCATCATATTCTCTTCAATAAAGGGGTAACTCCCGCCAATGGCAGTGTAGATTTCCTAACCTCTACACATGGAAGATTCACACCATTCGGGATTGCTGTTTAACTGTTGAGAGAGCACTTGATACTTAACAGCTTACTAGGCTACAAAACAGCGCAGGAAAGAATCCTCTGTTGTCCTTTTATGTTATCCTGAACAGTTGGTTCACAGAGTTACTGTAAACACACAAAACATGACTGCCAGGGCCTAGTAGTCAGGAAAGTAGGAACTAGTCCTGACTCACTCAGTAACTGTGCCCAGGCGAAGCTGCTTAACCTCAGGATTTGTCACCTGGCATCAACAATACCAACCCTAGGGGTAAAATAAAGATAAATGTGTGCAAAGGCTGCCGCAGTCTCGGGCAAGTCGTAGGTGTCCAAGAACTGTTATTAGGCAGCCGGTGGGGACAAAGTCTGTGTGCCTCCTGTCCTGGAGGAGGTCCCAAGGTCAGCTTACTTGCAAAGCAAGGACACGGCGCAGGAGTGCTGAATACGGGCTGGAAGGCCGCTGACTCTACCCTCCGCTCATAGGCCGGCTGGGCGGCGCTGACCAGCAGCTAGGCCCCGTCTTCCCTAGGAACGGCCCCGGGGGCCCTGGGAGGGTACGAACGTGTTGCAGTCAGGCCTCTGGACCCCGCGGCCGCCCCAGCGTAACCAAAACTCAGGGGCAGGTGCCGCAGCCGCCTCGTGCAGCGCGATCCCCGCCGGCACCCGGATCTGGGGGAGCCGGAGGCAGGGCCTTCGGGCCGTACCAACTCCACGGGGACAGGGGCCGCCTTCCCTCGGCCGCGCACCGCCCAAGTAAGGCAGACAGGCAGCGAGGTTGCCGAGGCCGAGGCTAGCCTGCAGTCCCCTTTCTCCCCTGCCCTGGGCGCGGGGTGTACGGCCAGCGCGGGCGGGCGGGACAGGCCCGGGGGCGCCCTGCGTGCCCCCCCCCCCCGGTTGGGCGCGGCGGGCGCGGGGCGGGGCCCGCGGGGGGGCGGGGCGGCGTGGCGGTGCCCTTGCGGCGCAGCTGGGGTCGCGGCGCTGTTCCCCGCGCTCTCTTAAGGCCGGCGGGCGGCGCAGGAGCCGCAGTTGTGGCTGTGGCGGCCTCTATAGCGGCTTCAGCAGATTGGCGGCATCAGCATCAACACCAGCACTAGCAGCATGTTGAGCCGGGCAGTTTGCGGGTGAGACGAAAGGGGACCCGGTCAAGGCCCCAAGGGCGAAGGGGCGCGCGGCGGGCAGGGCCTCCGCGGCGATGGCGACAGTGGCCGCACTGGGCCTGGCGGGGCCGGGGCACCTGCGGGCGGTTCTCCCGGGAGTGCGCGGCGCGGCGGCTGGAGCGGGGATCCGCAGGGAGGGGACGCGGGGACTCGGGGGACGCCGCGCGCTGCGGTTCCTCGGCAACCCAGCCTGCGTAGACTGTCCCGCGGCGCGCACTGACCGGGCTGTGCTTTCGCGTCTTCAGCACCGGCAGGCAGTTGGCGCCGGCTTTGGGGTATCTAGGCTCCAGGCAGAAACACAGCCTCCCCGACCTGCCCTACGACTACGGCGCCCTGCAGCCTCACATCAGCGCGGAGATCATGCAGCTGCACCACAGCAAGCACCACGCGGCCTACGTGAACAACCTGAACGTCACCGAGGAGAAGTACCAGGAGGCGTTGGCCAAGGGTAGGTTCCAGGCTGTGCGGCGGGAGGCAGTCCCCGGCAGAGGCGACCCCAGGGGAGCCGGGCCCCACACGAATGGGCCTCTCCGTGGGGGAGAACCCGCTTCGTGTTTGTACCGGTTCCGAGTTTTCCAGGCACAGTAGTCTCTCTTAAACACATGGTCTACCTCGTTGTAGAAGGAGTGCCTCGATGGGTTTGAACACACTTCTGTCATCTCAGGGAACTTGGGGTCCTGCGAAGGAGTTTGTCTTAGTGTTGTAAGCCACATTCGGTTACTCATATTGCCAGCACTGGTGAATTGTAGGGCCTGAAAAGAAAACTCTACTGTGTCACTCGTTTTTTTTGCAAATTGAAGTTGTTCTTGTTGTATAATGTGCTTTGGCGAAATGTTTGATCTCTCAGGTAGGTGTGCCAGCCGTTTGCAGGAGGGCTGAGAGCGCCTGTCCACTGGCGGCCCAGACATCATCAGGTCCGCAAGTGTCTCTGAGTGTCTCTGAGTGTCAGGGTCACCTCCTGATAGAAGTGGGAGTGGCGCCTTGCTGCCAGGTCACACTGAAGGTGGGAGACAGGAGGACACTACTCGGTGCTAGGAACCGTGGTCCTTGTCATCTTCCTGAGAGCAAACAGGGTCGGGAGTCCAGCCTAGGACTTGGAGACTCCCTGCGTCCCCAGCAACCCTGCAGGGGAAACTTCACTGAGCCCACTTGTTGACTTCAGGTGGAAGAAGAGGAGGCACACCACTGTGGTGTGCGTTACCAAAAAAGCAGTAACCTAACTGGTAAAGCAGTAACCTAACTGTGGAACAGTTCAGGATCTTTAGACTCGATACTTTTCTTGGTTTCAGTTAGGGGTCAAAGTTCACAAGGAAAATAGCTCCTCAGTGGGAAACTGAAATAGGCTTGTTTTTATTTACTATTTACTCATATTTGTAATGCAATTAAAAAATATGGCGTTAACTTTTTTTTTTCCTTCAAGAGCTTGGTTGGTAAAACCAGGGGTATGTGGACTTTCTGAGTCTGCGCCATTTGGGGGTGTGTATGGGAATGTTATGTTTTAACGTTTTTTTACAAAATAGTATTGTCCTTTTAATCTATTCGTTAGTGGTGTGCGCAAGGAAGATAATCAATAGTCATGTTTTCAGACTCTGTATTGCTTGGTAAGCTAGGTAGTACAAAGTGTTTACTTTTCCTTAAATGTTTTGAATTTCGGGGTTATGAAATTTGTTGAGTAATTTTTTACACAGTGACATCTTGTTGACTGGAGGCATCTAGTGGAAAAGTGCGGTATTTCAGCCTGATTGTGTTTGAAGTAAATGACTAAACTAAAAGAGGAGGAAGTTACCACATTCTGGAAGATTTGCTTGAGACAAATGAACCTTGAATTACGGGAAAAGGCCCCGTGATTTAGGAAATAGCAAATTTGGGAAACATGTAATGGGGAGAGACTGGGGAATACCCCAGTTGTGAAAGTAATTCTTGTAAGACAACATCTGACACCCAGGAAGCTTTCTCTTCAGTATTTTAAAAACAACTTAATTTCAGTCCTTTACTTGTGGAATCAGAGCTTTACTTATGTAATACAACCCACTGGAAAAAAGCTTTATATTATATTTTACTATATTGTTTATAAGTGATTGAGTACCTGCAGAACTTTCTTTTACTTAGACATATTTTAAAAATTATTAAAAAGTTAGATTTTCATGTTTGAAATCTTGGGGAAAAAAGGTAAAACAATGTCATAATCTCATCACATGTAACTGATTAATGAATATTTTTCAACCAAAAGCATTTGACTTTTATTATTATTTGAGGCAAAAACTAAACTGAAGCCAAATAAAATGTTGAATTTCAGAAAAGTGTTCTTAAAAGCAGATATTAAGCCCTCCATTTTTATTAATTTTAAAATGAGTAAGCAAACTGTAAGATGTTAAGATTACTAAATTATCTCTCATTAAGCATGTATCTTTCCCATTTGAAAAATTTAGTTACTATTGATTTATTAAAAAGTAATAGAAAACTTACATTTATTTTTAGGGTGACTCTCAATCAAATTTAATAAGGGAAACACAGTTCTATAAGAAAATTATTTGTAAACCTAGCAAAGGAAAAAAAAAAGTTGGTGTCTTTAAATAACCCTTTGAGATTAGCCGTGTATTCAGATATCACTTGGTCCTCTCCTCCTTTCTGAATTGCTGAACAACTGGAGCTTGTTTCAGAAAGCAGCATTGCCTATGTATGTTCCTTTTTTAAAAAAATGTTTTTTTAAATTTTATCTAAAAAATAGACGGGGTCACACTATGTTGCCCAGGCTGTTCTTGAATTCCTGGGCTCCCCCATCCACCCACCTCAGCCTTCCGAAGTGCTGGGATTACAGGCGTGAGCCACTGTGCCTAGCTAGACATATGTTTTTTTTGTTTGTTTGTTTGTTTGTTTGTTTTGACGACGGAATCTCGATCTGTCCCCCAGGTTGGAGTGCAGTGATGTGATCTCGGCTTACTACAACCTCCGCCTCCTGGGTTCAGGCAATTCTTCTGCCTCAGCCTCCTGAGTAGCTGGGATTACAGGTGCACACCACCACGCCTGGCTACTTTTTGTGGTTTTTTAAGTAGAGATGGGGTTTTTCCATGTTGGCCAAGCTGGTCTGGAACTCCTGACCTCAAGTGATCCACCCACCTCGGCCTCCCAAAGTGCTGGGATTACAGGTGTGAGCCACCTCACCTGGCTTTGTATGTACCTTTTTTTCTTTTTCTTTTTCTTTTTCTTTTTTTTTTTTGAGACAGAGTATTGCCCTATCGCCCAGGCTGGAGTGCAGTGGCGCAGTCTCGGCTCACTGCAACCTCTGCCTCCTGGGTTCAAGCTATTCTCCTGCCTCATGCTCTTGAGTAGCTGGGATTACAGGGACGCGCCACCATGCCTGGCTAATTTCTGTATTTTAGGGTTTCACCATGTTGACCAGGCTGGTCTCGAAATTCTGACCTCAAGAGATGTGCCCGCCTCAGCCTCCCAAAGTGCTGGGATTACAGGCGTGAGCCACCACACCCGACCCAGACATGTGTTCTTCATGTACACTTTCAGAACAGCAGTTGAGAACTTTTTCCAAAATGTAAGCTCCTTGAGAGCAGAGCTCTCAGTGGGTCTCTCTGTCCTTTACTTTGCTTCTCTTGGTATCTTGTGGTTAATATGCATGAAATATTTATTAAACAAGGGGATTTCCATTTTTTTCTAATATTAATAGTTCAGTTAATCTGTAGCTTCTTGAAGGCTTAGAAAACAATATTTCATTTTGCCTACTTGTTTGACAAGGTACCCATGCAGTATGCCAGGAGTTACAGGGCCTATCGAGAAGGAGTAAAGGGTCTGGGAGGGTGGCAGGGAATTGCTAATTCATGTATGGTGTTTAGAGAAGACTTCACTGATGGGGTTGATGTTTCAGTGGAGACTTGAAGGAGGAACAGGAATGCAGCATGAGGCTGTCATGGGGAAGACTGTTCAGCAGAGGCAGCAGTGCTCAGCTAGCCTTGAAGGGAACATCTGAGTTGATCATGTGAGTGTGAAAATGCCAGTGTGGATGCAGCTGGGTAAGCACGTGCTCAATGATGGGGTCAAGTGCAGCGCCTCTTGGTAGTGAGAGTAGCTGAGTGTAAGCACCTAGGGTTCACTCCAGTGAGAAGGAGAGCTTTTGGAGAGGGCAAAGCCCATCCCCCTCCCAAAACTGAGGGAATAGTGGCACCAGTGCAATGGGAGATACTGGTCCTCTGTACCAATGAGGCAGCAGTAGAGTTAGGAAGAAGGGATTGGGTTCTGCTTGTGCTGTATTTTGTCTTTCATTTTTCCCTGTGTGCTTTTATATAAATTGGATGTATTTTAAAGGTAGAGCTGACTTTGCTAATGGATATGCTGGTGGATTGGATGTGGGGTGAAGGGAGAGGAGTCAAAAATGACATCAGGTTCCCAAGGATGTCCTGAGGGACAGAGCTGGCATTTACTGAGATCAGAGGGGACAATAGGAGGAGTTAAGTTTGGGGTTGAACATCAGGAGTTCAGTTTTGAGTATGTTGAGTTTCTTGTTAATGTGACTTGGAGATATTTCCCAATGAATGGTTGTCTGTCTTGAAAATGAGAGTTGAAAGTTTTCTGTACAGTCTGTGTGTTGAGCCATACATTTTAGCATTCTATTATTTTATTTGATTGTCCTCTTTGGTGTTTCATTTCCTGAAATCTCTTCTATCTAAAAGAACCCTGAGCCTAGCAGCCAGGAGTGAATTTTCTAGCTTTTCCACCTCTGCTAGGCCCTTCATCAGTTGTTCAGCATGTCTGGGACAAATAATTTTAGGGGGAGGTGAATTTTAGGACAAACAGGGATGTTATAGATAAGCTGGTCCCATTATCTAATAGCTTACAAAGAAAAAAATATAATGTATACAGTGGTTGAAAAAGTAAGAATTATAAAAAAAAAATGTGTTTACATTTTAACTTTTCAGGAGATGTTACAGCCCAGATAGCTCTTCAGCCTGCACTGAAGTTCAATGGTGGTGGTCATATCAATCATAGCATTTTCTGGACAAACCTCAGCCCTAATGGTGGTGGAGAACCCAAAGGTTAGTATATATTGGTGCACCCTTATCTTCATCTTGTGCACAGTAGGAGTCGATGGTTGATTTACTTAAGTTACCTTATACTTGCTTTTTTTTTTTTTTTTTTTTTTTGAGATGGAGTTTTATTCTTGTTGCCCAGGCTGGAGTATAGTGGCGCAGTCTTGGCTCACTGCAACCTCCACTTCCCCGATTCAAGCGATTCTCCTGCCTCAGCCTCCCGAGTAGGTGGGATTACAGGCGCCTGCCGGCATGCCCGGCTAATTTTTGCATTTTTAGTAGTGATGAGGTTTCACCATGTTGGCCAGGCTGGTCTTGAACTCCTGACCTCATGATCTGCCCGCCTTGGCCTCCCAAAGTGCTGGGATTACAGGTGTGAGCCACTGTGCCCAGCCTAAGTTACCTTATTCTTACTAGAGGTATCATAGTGGCATATTTTTCATAACAACGAGTACGACAAAAGTTGTAACTTTCAAAAGGACACAAGTAGGAATGGAGAATGCATTCATGGAGTTAGGTCATAAGATTTTATGTTCACACACACATAGAATATCACATCAACTCCACCTTCTGGTTTCTGGACTGTACTTCATATTAGGGAAAGACTGAGAAACTTTGTTTTATGAAGTTTCTTTTTTTTTTGAGACGGAGTCTTACTGTCGCCCATGCTGGAGTGCAGTGGTGTGATCTTGGCTCACTGCAACCTCTGCCTTTCAGGTTCATGCAATTCTCGCGCCTCAGCTACCCAAGTAGCTGGGATTACAGGCATGTGACATCGCTCCTGGCTTATTTTTGTATTTTTAGTAGAGACAGGGTTTCACCATGTTGACCAGGCTGGTCTTGAACTCTTGGCCTCAAGTGATCCACCCACCTCGGCCTCCCAAAGTACTGTGGTACAGATGTGAGCCACCGTGCCCAGCCTAGAAAAGATGAACTTTCTGTTTACTAGTTTCTAGGGCCTGGATTAGATAGTTAACCTTCTGTACCTTTTTTCATCTATGTGATACAGGGATAACAACGGTGTTGTTTTGGGAATTAAATTACAGTGTCATTTGCTATTTTTCACTCTTCCTAACTGATAAAAAGTCAGTTGTTCCAGGAAATTAGGTTTTCTGGGTATTTTTTAAAAGCGTTCAGGGAATGAGGAGAGGACAGGGCTGGATGGTCTTGTTCGCTATCACTGTTTCCTTGACTTCCTGTGTAGCTTGTGGAGGCCCAGATGACTTCAATTATCTTCCTCACCCAGGGAAGGCATGAGGCCTAAATGTAGTTCTTCTCTCTTGTTTCTGGGCTCCGGATATGCACGCTAAGTTTCTGTGGTTTTATTGTTCGTTTTTAATCAGTGTTACGGAAGGCAGCCTATCTTATGCACTTGAAATAAGCAATTTCATTTTAAGGTAATGATGACTGAGGGGAGTAAGCATGGGGAACTGGGCAACTTTTTATTTTTGTTTTTGTTTATTATTATTTTTGAGATGGAGTTTAGCTCTTTCGCCCAGGCTACAGTGAAGTGGCTTGATCTTGGCTCACCACAACCTCCGCCCACCCCGGGTTCAAGCGATTCTCTGCCTCAGCCTCCCGAGTAGCTAGGATTATAGGCGCCCGCCACCATGCCTGGCTAATTTTTTTGCATTTTTAGTAGAGTGGGGTTTCTCCATGTTGGCCAGGCTGGTTTGAAACTCCTGACCTCAGAGGATCCACCCGCCTCAGCTTCCCAAAGTACTAGGATTACAGGTGTGAGCCACTGTGCCCGGCCAACTTATTTTTCTTCTGAGTTCAGTCTTCTAGACTATCAGTTAATACTTATAAAGTTTTGTCAGTTATCAGAATATCAGATATATTCATATGCAACCAATGGTTTTGGTACACTGCTATTTTTTTAAAAATCTGTACCATTTCATTCCATCATTTGTGCTTACAAAGATGATTACTTTTAAACCCGTAGCATAAAAGAAGTGCGATTTTGACCCAGTTGATTTAATTGATGTGACTAATCTAGAATTATATTCTGTATTGCTACAGAATAAAAGGGTTGTAGCTCTTAAAGCATACCCTTAGTTCAGTCAAGAGAGAAAATCGCCCATTTTAAAACAATGTAATCAAGACAGGAAGATCTGGGCTGCCTTGGATAAGAACAATAACTTTATTCCCAAATAGAGACATAGAAGAAGCAGGGTAGAAGTCAAGGGAAAATTTTCTATTCAGGGAAAAGAAAAAGCTAACAGAAGTAGTATTTCTTTCCTAACAAAAATAGCACAGTGAGTGGGGAAATCCCTCTAACACGATTCATTAAAAAATGTAAACTATACAGCTGAAAGCCATTATCCTAAGCAAGTTAACCCAGGAACAGAAAACCAAATGCCACAAGTGGAAGCTAGACATGGGGTACTTATGGACATAAAGATGGCAACAACAGATACTGGGGACAGAGCAGGGAGGGAGAAAGAAGGGGAGGGGGTGAAAAACTGTTGTGTACTAAACTCACTACCTGGATGATGGGATCAGTTGCACCCCAGACCTCAGCATCACATGATACCCACGTAACAAGCCTGAGCATATACCCTCTGAATTTAAAATAAAATTTGAACCGGGTGCAGTGGCTCATGCCTGTATTCCCAGCACTTTGGGAGGCCGAGGCAGGTGGATCTCCTGAGGTCGGGAGTTTGAGACCAGCCTGACCAACATGGAGAAACCCTGTCTGTACTAAAAACACAAAATTAGCCAGGCGTGGTGGTGCATACCTGTAATCCCAGCTACTCGGGAGGCTGAGGCAGGAGAATCGCTTGAACCTGGGAGGCAGAGGTTGCAGTGAGCCGAGATTGTGCCATTGCACTCTAGCCTGGGCAACAAGAGTAAAACTCTGTCTCAAAAAGTAAAAATTAAAAAAAAAAAAAAGTTTACATTTTTTCAAATGAAAACATGTGAATTAAAATTGTGCAACTTAGATCCAGGTGTCGCTTTCTGATGTCTAGTTTCTTGGGCCCTATGACAAAAATATTTTAATACATGTAATATAACATTTTATCGTAATTGTTGAAATCTGTTCATTTGTGGGTGTTTTTGGATTTTTTTTAAATAGGGGAGTTGCTGGAAGCCATCAAACGTGACTTTGGTTCCTTTGAAAAGTTTAAGGAGAAGCTGACGGCTGCATCTGTTGGTGTCCAAGGCTCAGGTTGGGGTTGGCTTGGTTTTAATAAGGAACGGGGACAGTTACAAATTGCTGCTTGTCCGAATCAGGATCCACTGCAAGGAACGACAGGTTAGATTTAAAAATTGTCATTTCATTTGGGAGAGATGCTCTACTGTAAAGCATTCAACTAGAAATAAGGAAAACCAGCAGTGTTTTCACTTACGATCATGTAATAATTTGTGCAAATCTTAACAGATAACACTCAGAATCTTGTGTAAGTAAAAATGTTTTTAGAAGTCCTGATATTTCATAAAATAAGTGCATGTAATTTTATAGGTACATTAACAAAAATGTTTTGCATTTATTTATTTATTTATTTTTTAATTTTTTCTTTTTTTTTTTTTTTTGAGATGGAGTTTTGCTCTTGTTGCCCAGGCTGGAGTACAATGGTGCGATCTCAGCTCACTGCAATCTCCGCCTTCTGGGTTCAAGCAATTCTCCTGCCTCAGCCTCCTGAGTAGCTAGGATTACAGGCACGCACCACCATGCCCGTCTAATTTCGTATTTTTAGTAGAGATGGGGTTTTTCCACGTTGGTCAGGCTGGTCTCGAATTCCCTACCTCAGATGATCTGCCCGCCTCGGCCTCCCAAAGTGCTGCGATTACAGGCGTGAGCCACCGTGCTCAGCCTATTTATTTATTTATTTATTTATTTATTTGAGACAGATCTCACTCTGTTGCCGAGGCTGGAGTGCAGTGGTGCAATCTCGGCTCACTGCAACCTCCGCCTCCTGGGTTCAAGCGATTCTTCTGCCTCAGCCTCCCAAATAGCTGGGATTACAGGCATATACCACCATACCTGGATAATTTTTGTACTTTTAGTAGAGATGGGGTTTCACCATGTTGGCCAGGCTAGTCTCGAACTCCTGACCTCAAGAGATCCACCTGCCTCGGCCTCCCAAAGTGCTGGGATTATAGGCATGAGCCACTGCGCCTGGCCTGAGAGTTTTTTTAAAAGAATGTTTTACAGTTAGAACTAAATTCTTCATTTACCTCACTTAACTTCTGAAAACACTGTGTCCTCCAACTGCTCTGTATTCCCAAAGATTAAAATTAGCCTTGCGGAGCAGAGCTGTTTTCTCGTAAACCCCTGTGAGTGCCCAGACCCTTTGGAGGAGATTCTCAGGGGGCTTCTGCCCACTCCCACGGATATAATACCCCCTTCCTGCTGCTCCTAAGACCACCATGAGGAAGGCTGAGAATTGGCTCTTGAATGAATTTGTTGGTATTTTTAAGAATAGCTATTAAAATACTGTTATTAATTTTCCTGTCTATTTTATTTATTTTTAGTATTTGTCACATTTTGTTTGTAAACAATAAATTAAAAATATTCTATAGGAATATTCATTCTTATCTAGATTTCCTATTTCTATAAAAAAACAAGTGAATGAGATTGTTACAAAGGGTAATTTTGTATGGGTGGAATAATAAAAGTTGAACTTGAGAAGATGCAGTGTTTTAGACTGAAACTGATGGTTCGTTCTTTTTTCCCCTTCTTTCTAACAGGCCTTATTCCACTGCTGGGGATTGATGTGTGGGAGCACGCTTATTACCTTCAGTATAAAAATGTCAGGCCTGATTACCTAAAAGCTATTTGGAATGTAATCAACTGGGAGAATGTAACTGAAAGATACATGGCTTGCAAAAAGTAAACCACGATCATTATACTGAGTATGTTAAGCTCTTTATGACTATTTTTGTAGTGGTATAGAGTACTGCAGAATACAGTAAGCTGCTCTATTGTAGCGTTTCTTGATGTCGCTTAGTCACATGTTTCATAAACAACTTAATGTTCTGAATAATTTCTTACTAAACATTTTGTTATTGGGCAAGTGATTGAAAATAGTAAATGCTTTGTGTGATTGAGTCTGATTGGACATTTTCTTCAGAGAGCTAAATTATAATTGTCATTATAAAACCATCAAAAATATTCCATCCTTATACTTTGGGGACTTGCAGGGATGCCTTTCCAATCCTATTTCATTGCAGTTATAGAAAATCTAGTCTTTTTCCCCAGTTACTTAACAATAAAATATTAACACTTTCCCAAGGGAAACCCTCAGCTTTCTATAGAAAACTGCACTTTTTGTTGAGTAATCCTCTGCAGTGATACTTCCGGTAGACGTCACCCAGTGGTTTTGTTATGGTCAAATGTTCCTGTATAGTTTTTGCAAATAGAGCTGTATACTGTTTAAATGTAGCAGGTGTAACTGAACTGGGATTTGCTCACCTGCGCAGTAAAGGCAAACTTCAACAGCAAAACTGCAAAATGGTGGTTTTTGCAGCAGGAGAAAGGAGGATATTTCTTTGCAGGGCGCCAAGCAAGGAGAATTGGGCAGCTCATACTTAAGACCCGATCTCCATGATGACTTCCAAGCTAGAGTTTTTAAAGGCAGTGGTAAATTTCAGGAAAGCAGAAGTTAAAGGCAAAATTGTAAATCAGTTGAGATCGGGTGCATTCAGGGTGGAATGGCTGTATACCAAAATTGTAAATCAATACATGAAGCTTATATATTGGTTTGGCCTGAAGGGTGAAGTGGGCAGACTTACAGGTTATGGTGGATTCAAAGACTCCCTGATTTGTGATTGGTTAAGGAAGCAAAGCTTTGTCTAAAAACTTGGGGTCCACAGAAAGGAACAAAAAGGTCGGGCCAGGCCCCTCAGCAAGAAACTTGGAACAAAGAATGGAGGTCAGAGTTTAGTCCCTGGTGTTCCCCCTTATCTAATGTCTGTGTGAATCCATTTGGTAGGGGTCTGGGTTTCTGAAAAGTAGCTCAGGGACACATGCTAAGGATGTTTCTAGGAGACTCTAACTTCCCTGGCTATTGTTTGAAACTGTTATTTATTACCTTCTTGCTTATCAGGTTGCTGGTTTACTTCTCAGGGCTAGCTAGGTGCCTGGAATTTTCAGTGAAGGAACTCAAGATTTTCCTTTATTTCTGTGCTTGTGGGAATCCCCCTGGCACACCCCAAAGAGGGGTCCCTGCTCCATCTCACAGGGATCTTTTTTTATATTTGGCTTATCATGCATTTCCCATGTTGTTTCATCATCTCCCTAATTTCCTGTTTTTGAGTATTTCATTTGTTTCTAATTGTTATTACAGATCATGCTGGGGTGGGGTGAGTAACTCTGTGCACATAGGTTTATCTCCTATTGGAATATTTTCTTTATATAGGCCTTTTTTTTTTTTTTCCTGGAGACGGAGTCTTGCTCTGTTGTCCAGGCTGGAGTGCAATGGCGTGATCTCGGCTCACTGCAACCTCCACTTCCCGGGTTCAAGTGATTCTCCCACCTCAGCCTCCTGAGTAGCTGGGATTACAGGTACATGCTACCACACGCGGCTAATTTTTGTATTTTTAGTAGAGACAGGGTTTCACCATGTTGGCCAGGGTGGTCTCGAACTCCTGACCTCAAGTGATCCGTCTGGCTTGGCCTCCCAAAGTGCTGGGATTACAGGCATGAGCCACGGCACCTGGCCTATATAGACTTTTCTCTTAAACCTATTTAGTAATGTTTTCCCAAGTTTATTTTTAATTTTTAATTTTTTCCCCAACCTTATTTTTCTATTTTTTTTTTTCAAGGAAAAATGGGGTAACTTAGCAGTTTCAATATTGAAGACTGAATTTTTTAAAAAATTTAAATTCAAGGTACTTTTAAAATTCAATTAGAAAAGTAGGCTTTAAAAATTATTAGAGACGAGAGTACCGAAACTGTGTGTGTGTGTATGTGTGCGTATGCATGCTTGTGGATTGGAAAAGCTTTGGAGACTGATGGCTTTTCATTATATATGTATCACAGTGAAACAGCTTTTATGTGTCATGTAAGATTACTACTTGCCTCTCTAAACAAGGTGGTGACTCTGTGTAAGTAGATGGGCAAGTGGAACCTTTGGGAAGATGAGCTTTTGAATATAAGTCGTCTGCTAGATCATGGTTTGTATTGAACTAACAAGGTTTGCAGATCTGCTGACTTATATAAAGCTTTTTGATTCCTACTAAGCTTTAAGATTTAAAAAATAATCAATGTTGAAATTTCTATGGGGCTCTATTTTTGCTTTGGCTTTCTGGTGAGAGAGTGAGGAAGCATTCTTTCCTTCACTAAGTTTGTCTTCTCTTCTGGATAGATTGATTTTAAGAGACTGAGGGAATTTACAAACTAAATAATTTAATCATCTGGTGGAAAAAGAGACTTTAAGATTGTAAAACAGGCTGGGTGGGGTGACTCACATCTGTAATCCCAGCACTTTGGGAGGCCAAGGCAGGTGGATCACTTGAAGGAGTTCAAGACCAGCCCGGCCAACATGGTGAAACCTTGTCTCTACTAAAAACACAAAAAAATTTAAAAAGATTGTTTAGCTCTGTTTTTCATAATAGAAATAGAAAAAGTAAAGTTGCCTTTTCTTCTGAAAAGAGCAAGTATTGTTCAGACCAAGAAGGGTTTTTGTGATTGAATCACCAGTGCCTGTCCTAGTCATAGCTGTGCTTCAAAAACCTTAGCATGATTAGTGTTGGAGCAAAACAAGGAAGCAAAGCAAATTCTGTTTTTGAAATTCTGTTGCTTGAACTTTTTTGTAATAATTAAACTTTGATGTTGAGAAATTACAACTTTATTGTACACTTCATTGCAGCTTGAAATTCATGGTCTTAAACTGAGATTTGGGTTTCTATTGAGCACCTTTAAAAAAGTAATACCAAACCATAAAGTTAAAATTGATGTATATTGAGTCATATCTAAAACCAGGTATAAACGTAAATTGTATTTCCTGTTTTAATTTCAGGGGAACTACTGTTTGGGAAAGCTATTATTAGGCAAATGTTTTAAAAATTACTGTTTCTCATTTTCAGTCATACCCTAATGATCTCAGCAAGATAATGTCCTGTCTGCTAAGATGTGCATCAAGCCTGGTACATACTGAAAATCCTATAAGGTCCTGGATAATTTTTGTTTGATTATTCATTGAAGAAACGTTTATTTTCCAATTGTATGAAGTTTTTGACTTAATAAAGGAATCTGTCAACCATCAAAGAGGTCTGCATTATGCTTGCATGTCAAAAACATTAAAAGTCCTATAATGTTCTATCATTTTCACTGAGTTTCCGTGGGAAAGGAATAGTAAATAATAGGTAGTTGAAATATTACTCTTAAGACCAAGAACTCTATCTCCAGTCATATCTGTAATAACATCATCTGATAACATAAAAGCATAGTATTAGGGATATAGGACAAAACCAAAGTGTTTTTGCTGTTGTCACATACCACTCAATACTTTTACACCAGATTGTACAGTGGACACCAGCTGGATGTCCTGTAATTCAATTCTGATACTATCTACCTGGAATTGAAGTCAGATCCCACAAGTGGAGGGCTCAGACCACAAGACTGCCCCCACTTCAGATACCAATCGCAAGTCCCTGTACTTCTGTCTATAAAATGGGGTTCCCATGACCCCTTCCTTGGTTTTGGTTTATTTGCTAGAGCAGCTCCCAGAACACAGGGCAACACTCTACTTATGTTTACCCATTTTTAATTTGATTACTTTATTAAAACTACATATTGGGTACAATACTAATTTATTGTAAAGGATATTTCATTTATTTATTTGTTTAGAGATGGAGTCTCACTGCGTCATCCAGGCTGGAGTGCGGTGGTGCAATCTCAGCTCACTGCAACCACCTCCTCCTAAGTTCAAGCGATTCTCATGCCTCAGCCTCCCAAGCAGCTGGGATTACAAGTGTGCACCACCACACCCAGCTAATTTTTGTATTTTTAGTAGAAATGGGGTTTCACTCCGTTGGCCAGGCTGGTCTCAAATTCCTGACCTCAAGTCATCCACCCACCTCAGCCTCCCCCAAGTGCTGAGATTACAGGTGTGAGCCACCGCCTCTGGCCTGTAGAGGATATTTCAAAGGATACAGATGAACAGCCAGATGGGAGAGATGCACAGGGCAAAACATGTGGGAAGGGGTATGGAGCTTTCATGCCCTCTCCACGCCATCAGCTACCCGGAAGCTCATCTGGACCCTGACCCTTTGGGGTTTTATGGAGGCTTCATTATGTCCATTGTGTCAGCATGATTACCATTGGCCATTGACGATTAACTCAACCTGCAGCCCCTCTCCCCTTTATGGAGGTTGTGGGCTGCGGCTGGGAGTCCAGACTCTCCAATCTTGCCTTGGTCTTTCTGGTGAGCAGCCCCCCATCCTGAAGCTACCTAGGGGCTCCCAGTCGCCAATCATTTCATTAGCAAGCAAAAGATACTTCAAGGGGTTTACAGCCAAGAGACCAAGCAAGGATTAAGACAATATATATATTTCTTATAAATAACATGATCATAAATAGTATTTTATATATTTCTCATAATAACTGGGTGTGGTCGCTCACGCCTATCATCCCAGCTACTAACAGGCTAAGGCAGGAGGATCACAGGCCCAGGAGTGTGAGGCTGTAGTGAGCTATGATTGTGCTACTGCGCTCCAGCCTGGGTAACAGTGTGAAACCCTGTCTCAAAGTTCTTGTAGCATCTTAGAACATTAACCAACCACAGAATATTGCCTTCACTCTGAAAAAGTAATCATACTTTTACAAGATGTATTTTACATAAAGTTCTGGTGATATTTTACTCTGGTCATTGGAATATAGGAGCTTACGACCTGGTACCACTCTTCCTAGAGTGGTATACTATTTGTTATAGTACCGGCATACTATTTGGAAAGGGATGTTAAGTTGGCATGACCTGTCTAGGGTGAATTCATGCCGTCTGCTTTCATCGTGGGCTTTATAGTAATGAGAGTGCTTCTGTTGTCAAGATGATTCTGGGACACGTTAAAAAAATGAAGATGTCTCAGTTTGTGAAAAGGAAGGAGCATGAATGCTTTCAAGTTCCTGTGACATGCTCGTCATCTTTCAGTGTGTCCCACTGTTGTACCCAGTAGTCTCGATGTGCAGTGTCATGGGTGATTCCAAGTTTGTCTCTCTGCCCACTATAACATGTGCTCCATGAAGTCCCAGAGCATGAGGTTCTTGTTCATTTGTGCGTCTGGGTCTATATCCAAGTATTAAACACTGTGACTAACTGTATTTATCATTTTGTAAATATGGGTATCCCCAAGGTTCAGAAGTTAACACAGCATATCCACAGAGAGGTTTGACAGCATGGCTGTGGTGACTGGGAAGGCCTTATGCTTGCCCCTCCTTCTGCTGCTTGCCTTTGTGTGGGCGTGGAAAGAACACTGAATTAGGTACTGGAAGGCCTGGGTCCTGGTCTTGGAGATTTTACCAAAGCACCTGTGGGATATTGGTCAAGATGCCTGGTTTTAGTCCTGCTCCTTTGCTGTGAAAGAGAATCTTAAGGTACCAACTCTGGCATTTTATGGTTTTCTCTGTGTATTGACTATGATTATAGTGGATAAATGGATATTGATGTTATTAAATCGTCATGTCCTTTACAGAAGACATACAACTTATATCCTTTAAACAAAGTTCTCCAACCAGTAGGGTACGCTTGCTGGTAGTGCTCACAGCCGGCATCATTCTTCACTGGGGCTCAGAGTGGATGCCCGGAGGAAAAAAGAAAATGAATCTTTTAGCTCCTAGTTACTGTTAGCATTTTTACCAGAAAACAATTTTAAAAATGACACAAATAAGTCTTCACCTATCAAGGCTGAGTGTGATGGTCTCTACTTGTAATCCCTGTACTTTGGAAGGCCAAGACAGGAGGCTCTCTTGAGTCTAGGAGTTTGAGACCAGCCTGGGCAACAAAGCAAGACCCCGTCTCTACAAAAATTTAAAATTTAGCTGGGCATGATGGCATACCCCTATAGTCCCAGCTACTTGAAAGGCTGAGGTGGAGGATCCCTTGAGGTCATGAGTTGGAGTCTACGGTGAGCTGTGATTACAGTGTGAGTCTATACTGCACTCCAGTCTGGGCGAAAGAAACCCTGTCTCAAACAACAGGCGATTCTCCTGGGAAGATATTTTTTTTTTAAAGTCCACACCTCTATTGATGATAACCTTGAATGTAAATGGATTAAATTCTCCCACTTAAAAGATATAGATGGACTGAATGGATTAAAAACCACCCCCATGACTCAACTATATGCTGCCTATAGGAAACTTCACCTGTAAAGACAGATAGACCAAAAATGAAGGGATGGAGAAAGATAGTGCATAAAAATGGAAGCCGAAAAAGAGCAGGAATAACTATACTTACGTGAGATAAAATAGATTTTAAGTCAAAAACTGTAAAAAGAGAGAAAGAAGGTCATTATTTAATGATACAAGGATCAATTCATGCAAGATATAATTGTATTTGTTTTATTAAGAAAATTTTTTTGTAGAGATGGGGTTATGCTCTGTTGCCTGGCTAGTCTCAAACTCTGGGTATCAAAGCAGTCCTCCTGCTTTGGCCTCCTGAGGGGCTGGGATTATAGGCATGAGCCACTGTGCCAGGCCTGAGGATATAATAATGGTAAATATATATATGCCCCACACTGGACCACCCAGATGTAAAGCAAATGTTATTAGATTTAAAGTTAGAAATAGACTCTAATACAATAGTAGTTGAGGACTTCACTTTACATCGGACAGATTTCCTAGACATAAAACCAATGAACATTGGATTTAAATTGCACTTTACACCAAATGGACCTGACAGACATTTACAGAACATTCTAATAGCTGCAGATTACACGTTCTTTTCATCAGCACATGGAACATTCACCAGGCTAGTTCTGGAACCCACTTCCTGCCTTAGTGTTCTTTCCACGACAGTGCATGATAATTCCGACAGAATGCCTTTCATTTGTACCTTATTAGCTGTGGGGGAAAGCTTTTGCATGTACAAAAATGCTGTAATTTTCTGATTTAATAAATTAACTCCACTAATGTTTTTATTTGCTTCTTGGTATACATGTTTTAAATGTATCCTTTCATTTCTTCATGAGTCCCAAAGTATATCATTGTTTACAAAACAGTTTTTTACCCCCTAAAAAGCTTATTTTTATTTGATTAAGCTTTTCTGTAAGAATGCCTGGGATGTGGCCGGGTGCAGTGGCTCACACCTGTGAGGCTGTGGTGGGCAGATCACCTGAGGTCGGGAGTTCAAGACCAGCCTCACCAACATGGAGAAACCCCATCTCTACTAAAAAAAATACAAAATTAGCCGGGCATGGTGGCCCATGCCTGTAATCCCAGCTCCTCGGGAGGCTGAGGCAGGAGAATCGCTTGAACCTGGGAGGCGGAGGTTGTGGTGAGCCGAGATCGCACCACTGCACTCCAGCCTGGGCAAGAAGAGTGAAACTCTTTATAAAAAAATAATAAAATAAAAAGAATGCCTGGGATGAGCCCAAAGTGAACATACCCCTGCAAAGAGGGCAGATGAAAAACGGTGTGTACTTTTAATTTCTATTTTGGGGAGACTCAACCATCAAATGGTTAAGGAGTAAGAATCCTTACATGGTTCTTGTAAACAAATCAAGATTTTGGTTTGGGGGGTGTTGAAAGTGACATTTTCATTTTTTCAGACAAAATGAGATATTTTGGGCCAGGTTCGGCCTGTGCATGATGTATGCCAAGTGATCAATTTTCTCACTTTGAGTGTGTCAAACCTTCTGTACCAAGAGTCACTCCTTCTCCGGGGTTTTTTTTTTTTTTTTTTTTTTTAAGTTGGAGTTTCACTCTTGTTGCCCAGGCTGGAGTGCAAGTGCGCGATCTTGGCTCACCCGCAACCTCCGCCTCTCAGGTTCCAGCGATTCTCCTGCCTCAGCCTCCGGAGTAGCTAGCATTACAGGCATGCGCCACCACGCCCGACTAATTTTGTATTTTTAGTAGAGATGGGGTTTCTCCATGTTGGTGAGGCTGGTCTCGAATTCCTGACCTCAGGTGATCTGCCTGCCTCGGCCTCCCAAAGTGCTGGGATTACAGTGGTGAGCCAGCGCGCCTGGCCTTCTGGGCTTTCTCTATCCCTTTCAGCATCAGTGTCAACATGTCAGGGATGGTCTTTATTTTGCAGTTTCCTTCTGAGACAA